ATCATTCAGTGGTAAAGCAAATCAAGTTATCCTGACAATGGTATTTTACAGTTACACAACATGATCTGTGTGACCTACAAAACTTCCTCTGCAATGCATACGCGTGGGATTTAAAAGCATGTCTAATATCTACCTTTTTTAGAAGTTAGTATTAAACCTCTCGCTGATTTCTAGGGAGGAGAAGCATACCAAGGACGAAACCACCCAAATCTCACCTTCTAAAAAAGCTTTTCAAGACTGCCTTATTCTATCCGTCCAAAACCCAGACAGCACCATGTCTGGCATTTTCCCTGATACACTCAGGAAGAACAAGAAGTTCTTATGCTCATGATTCCAAGCATGTGACTCTCTTTCCGAAGATCTGCCACACTGCAGGCCAGTTTTATATTTAAACCATCAGCTGCTGGAGTGCTCCCACTGTTCCTCAAAGAGATCCTCAAAGATCCTCAGAAAACATCCTCAAAGAGATCTAGACATAGCAATTCTTAAACTATCTGTGGATATCAGGCTCTCCACAGCGCCTTTATCCCAGCACCTCAGCACTGACCAGGCCAATGTCAGCTTCCCCCTCTTTGCTGCCATGGCCAGGATATTGCTGCATCCTTAGTCTCTTTCTCCCCCATTCTGGCTATGCTGAGAAAACACTCTTGGCATGAGAGGTGTCCCCGAGCCTCCCTCAAGGTGGTCCGCTGCTGGATTAGACCACTGTCCTCTGGGAGCTCATTCCACAACCAGGAGTGTTTCATTTCCAGCTCTCATGTAAAATATGCATGTGCAATACATGCTGCTGAGCACGCAATAGGTTAAACAAATGGATGATAAAGTATTCTACTTAGTTATTTTTCATTACCATAAGAAAACATCAATTACATTTTCTATTTTATGAGTGTACACGAGGGAATCCATTACAATAACAGAGAGGTTATATGACTGTTTCTGCTGCATCTTTCCCAAGCAAAAAGAACAGTTAGTTTTTAAAGACAATGAAACCAGTGCAGAGAAAAGGGAGGCACACCAGCATATCTGCATAGACAGTTCCTATCCTGATTTATCCAGCCTGACTCCAACTAATTAAACATCTGCCTCGGCAATTTCCTCTGCAGATCTATCTCCTCCAGTATGTAGAACTGACTGGTTCTAACAGGCTTTCCCTAACTTCAGCCATTCCCATGTACCTCTTCCAGTTGGTTATTTGGGCATGTGGCAAGAGATGATTCAGTATTCCCATGAATCCCCTGCTGCTGCCGCCTGTGGTGGGACAGGTCAACATAATATCTAACTAGAGAGAATCATAGAATAGTTAGGATTGGAAAGGACCATAAGATCGTCAAGTTCCAACCCCCCTGCCGTGGGCAGGGACACCTCACACCAAACCATGTCACTCAAGGCTCTGTCCAACCTGGCCTTGAACACCACCAAGGATGGAGCATTCACAACTTCCCTGGGCAACCCATTCCAGTGCCTCACCACCCCTTCAGTAAAGAACTTCTTCCTTATATCCAGTCTAAACTTCCCTTGTTTAAGTTTGAACCCATCACCCCTTGTCCTATCACTACAGTCCCTAATGAAGAGTCCATCCCCAGCATCCCTATAGGCCCCCTTCAGATACTGGAAGGCTGCTGTGAAGTCTCCGAATATCATTTCCTTTAATTTCATGCAGTTTTAAACAGAAGTCAAAAATGGAAAGGCTGACAAGGTCATCAACTCACAGAGGTGACTGAGGAGGATGGATTTTTAGGGACCTGCAACTCAACTGCTTGTTGGAAAACCTCCTTGTGAACTGTAGACTACTGCCTGCATAAAATCATTAGACAAAGCTAGCCTACTATTTCAGCTGTAGTCACTCTGGAACATGCCCTTCCTGACTACACAACTGAAGTTCTTCAATGTCTTCCTCACCCAAAACAGCCAACCAAGGTTTGCATTTACCTACAAACAAGGGACCAATTTGAAAGCTGTCATGTAAGTCAGTGGTGAAAATCGGTCACAAAGCAATTTCTTACACAAGTACCTGAAAACAGCATAAGCTGTAAATGTAATGAATTCATTTGCCCTGTGAAGACTGGTCTGGAGGCATACTGAAAATGTGCAGGAAGGTTTGTAGGCATTTCTGTTTTATTAAACTACTAAGAAAGCTCTAAATAAACATGTTAGCTCTATTTTTGGTTAGTTCTTTTTAAAAACCAGAACAATCAACTTGAAAGGAAGCTTTGCTGAATGAGAAGAAACCCTCTTCCTAAATTATGTCTTATCTTTTATTCAGAACTTTGACATCCTAATCCACTGCTTAATAATGACTTGAACTCCAACAGCGCAGGACTGTACTGTGCTAATAGTCTGATCTTAAATTCCATTTATCTGTGCATCTCCCAGTGAAAGCAGGAGGCATATCCAGCCAAACATGAGGAATCTGGTGGTGGATGAAAAGCAATGCCCAAATCTTTTTCCACTCCTGTCCCAGCCTGTCCATGCCCACTGTGTTTTAACCCGAATTTTAACCATCCTTTAGCCCAGGCATCATTTCCATCCACCCTGCTGACCAGGGGCAGCAGAAGGAAGCTGGGAAAGGCTGGATTCGGATCCAGAGGGAAGCGCAAGCAAGAGGATCCCTCTGTGCAGACAGCTGTGATTTCTGCTGTTTTAAAGATGATAGACAAGACCCTCCAAACCCCCCCAGACTCTGCAATCTGATGCATCACAGTCTGCATAAGGGAAGTAATTGCGAATAAGGGATTGGTGTTTTGGATGAAAAACTTCAATTTGTGATTTACCAATTTAATACATAAATACCTAAACTGAGAAGTCCCTTCGCCCATGTGACAGCCTTACATGACAACAAAGCATTATGAGCCCTCACCAACATTTAAACTACAACAATAATAAAACATTTCACTAATGAAATTCAGTAATACGGGAATTCAAGCAGAAACCTTTCACTCTTCTTGCAGTGACTTCAATTCATGAAGCTTACAATTGCAGGTCCTAATTCTGGGTGCATCTGTACACAAGCTTGAACTGAAATCTGCAAGCAACACCGACTATTTCAAGCAATCCAGTTACAAGCACAAGAGCAAACAGACCTGCAAGTAACCAGTATGTTCTTAGTTGTGACTTCTGCTGTGGTTATATCCACAGCAGGGATGACAGATCTCAAAGAGGTGAGATGTCACATGGATAATTTATAAAGGTAAATCTGTATCACAGAATCATAGAGTGGTTTGGAAGGGACCTTAAAAGATCATCTTGTTCCAACCTCAAATGATTTCTGATTTAATTAAAAAACCCCAAAATGATATATACATGCTTATATACCCTGTTACTACAAAGGCTTCTGAGCAGGAGTGCCAAAACAGTAGAAACAAATTAAGTATTAGCTGAAGCAGTAAATGACAGGTCCATTCCATTTCTAAACTGCTGAGCAGAACTAACAAAATAAAAGCAAAAACAAATGTCAAATGGACAAAGAGTAAAACATCTGTTACACAAAGGAGGAAAGTAGTTTAAAGACTGAGCTAAGTGAAGCCTTTAGCCACCTCCCTTCAGGGAAGGGAAATCTGACCCCAGGAAATAAATAAAAGTCACCCAAAAAAGTGAACAAAAGAGGTGTTTGAAAAAACCAGAACACCATTCATCGCAGCTAACGACTTGTTCATTATGAGTGATGATGGATAAAGACTTCTCACGCTGAGATGAAATCAAGATTTATATGCATTGTTTCCTCTCCCAACTTGTGGGAAGATCATCATCATTTAATTCTATCTCTGCGGCCAGTGATGGGCATCCAGAGAGCTGGTTATCAAACGGCGCAGTCAGCTGGCAAAAGCCGAAACGTGCAGTTGGCACATCTGGACTGAGCCGCCACAGCCGAGGGTGAACAATGACTCCTGGCCAGTGGCCAAATTGCTGCAGACGCTGGCGGGTCTCATCCACAACACCCGACCAGCAGCTCTCTTCTCCACCCCCCCTTTCTCTCCCTTCCTTTTTTTTTCTTTACGAGAATCAGATTTTCATTGCTTCATTCAATTGCTCTCCTCTGCCATTTTTTACAGCTCTTATCGTTCCCTTGGAATATGGCCTTGAGACAGCTCATCCGTGTCCTTCACTGTGTTATCTCTTCTAACTTTTATTAAAACTTCAGCTCTCATCTGAAGATAGCTAATTAAATCCATGACAGATTATATACTCGTTTAAAAACTGCGCCGAGCTACTTCTTCTAAGGAGACCAGGGTTTATTTTCTTTTCCCATAGTTAAAACTAAGGGTATATAAGGAGGTTTCATTCATTTACAAAGACAAGATCCTTATCTTTCCCTAGTATATAGATAGGTTTATATTAAAGTTCCTTTGTTGCGTGACAAGACTCGATGCAATTTCTCACAGTAAGTATTTCTTGTTGCTGGAAAGATCTCTCAACCTTATACTTTTGAAATATATATACGCTAACATATATGTGAATGCACATTTACACCCTGGAAAAGCATTGCTCTAAAATACAAATGCAAGCACAGTAAATTTTCTTTTTTAAAACACTGGAAAATCTTATCTATAATAATTCTGACAACATCACAGAAAGTAAATTTTCCTCTTTCTCTACAAGTAATGAGGAATCCTTTAAATTATTTAAAATCATACTAAGCATCATCTGCTTACACAAATTAAAAGCATACACAAATTCCATCACAGACTGGTCTTACTGTACTTCCACCCATCATCTCAAACTACCGCTAGCTGGACTTGAATGCAAATGGCTTTGTTATCATAAATAAATATTTGCAGTAATGGATATACTGCTCTGCAGCAAACATTATGCAGCTCCTCCACTGTCTGCATTTTGCCAGCATCTAGAACAGAAACCTGGGCACAGAACTGCTTCAGAGAGGTGCTGAAAATCACAATACCCACAGAAAACACCTGAGCATCTTTCACAACCATTAGAAAGATACATAAAATATGCTCATGGCAAAACACCCTACCCTCTAGAAAATAGGATAAATAACCCACCTGAGCCTCTCTGTGATCCCTTCCTTCTCTTTAAGGCCTTTTGTAAGATATCCTTCATGGTGACCTTCATACTGTCCACCTGAATAAGTGAGAATCCATGAGCAGCATTTCTGCAAGACAGATGCACATGCATTTTTACAAAATCATCATCATCAGGGCAGCTCACTGCAATTTTCATTAGTTTCAAGCAAAGGATTCGTTAGGCACAACAATTCACAAAGTTGTGCGATAGAAGTGAGTTAAAAGGAGAAACTAAGCAAAGTCCCTTAGAAAGGCAGAGGCAGAAGTGGAGGAAATGGGCTGAGATTCAAGGTGTGTAAGGATTTTCATAATTTGTCTTTATTTTTGATCATTTTGTGCTCATCATTAAAAAAGAAAAATGAGCAAATGCACCTGCAGAGCTCCTCATCTCCTCATTATTAAGTACCTGTTAGGCATTCCTCAGTGCATACAAGAGAAACAGTTTGCAATGTCATTGTCATACAAGTCCCAGTGGCAGACGTGACAAATCATTAAGAAGTGGAAAAACAACACTCAGAGAAGTAACAGCAGCTCTGCAGCACTATTAATGTACAGCATTATTGCAGACTGAGTAACGTGCTTTCTTTGGACTTATTTTTTGTGTACATCACAGAACAAAATCCTGGCATTTGCCTGCAGGAGAGTCCATACCTTGGGGAAACATGGCCAATGGCATGGGAATGGCTATGGATGATACCATCAGGCAAACACCAAAAATGGCATCGCTGGGGGAGCAGAGAAGGTGACAATATAATAGAAGAGACGCTGGATTAATATATCAGTGAATTTTGCCCCTTAGACCTTGCAGTCAATCTCTGCTCGTGTCAGTAGATGTCACTGCAGACAGTTAGCACGGCAGTTTGAGAGCTGCTAGGCACCCACAGGGAGAGATTTGCACTGCATGGAAAAAACCTGGTTTGCAAAGCTATTTAGACAGGAGGAGGAGCTTTGTATCTGGCAACGAGGAATTTTAATCAGGGAGTAGAGCTCTGTATGAATATCACAGCTGGAATATTTTTTAAAAGCAACTGGCAGTCAAAAGCAATCCAAGCAACACAATAACATCATTAAAAACACGAGCATATTACATGTCACTTTAAGACACAAACACTGGGAATACAAGTTGGAGTTCAGCTGTGGCATCCCCAGCCCACGCTGTGACACGGCCTAGATGAATAAATGACATCTCCAAGCCCTCACCATACATTAACATGCCTCCTGGCCACAGGGCATACATGGTGGAAAGTGAGCTCCCTGGCTGGGCACATGCTGATCACCACCTTGATGTCCTGCAACTCACTTGTGGTTCTGTTATCCATGAGAACAGCACAAGCACACACTGCCCCATTTTACCCTGCTCCCACAGCAGAGCTACCTTATCTACCCCATTAAGATTTCCAACTCAACATCAGCTGCCCAGTGGCTGGAACAGGCAGAAGAGATGGTCAAGAAATCCACAGGGTGGTCATTTATGCATTGCAAATAAAGCCTGCCATGCTGTGATTATTGTATCAGATGGGTCTGTTTTCAGAGCATCCCCAGCTCCTTGGGCAGCTCACCTCCGGGCTCCTCACACCCCAGGGCAGACAGTCCCACAAGCTACTACCATAAAACAGTGCCTTCCTTCCCATCAGTTGTGAGCGAGACTCATCTGAATTTCATTCTCAATTCCCTTTGTTCTTGGCAAAATAAAACTGCCCAAAAGCCCCAAATTTATGTTCTCTAGACCATTTAATATTTATAACTCTATCTTACTCATCTTCAAACCAAATATTCCAACCTTTTCACGCATCTACTTTTTCCCTCTCTATTTCTGCCATGTGTTTCATAGAGAACGAGCAGAACTGAGTCCACTGCTCCACATGAGGGAATACCATCCATGCCTGCAGTGGTGAGATTACCATCCTCGGAACAGCCCAGCGTCTCAGGGGGTTTGACTAACGCCATATAGCGAGCAGAGACCTTACTCAACTCTTCAGCGATGAGCAAACCTTCCCTTAAGCTGCCTTGGAGCCAGATAACGTGCATGAGCACCAGACAATGTCCTTCCGCTACCCTGCAGTTGCCTGGGCATCCACCTCACTTCCCAAAATCACTACAGCACTAGCCCAAATTGACCTGCTGAGGACATTCTAAAGTGAAAAACCTCTTAAACAGCCAGACTATAGTTACAAAAAGAAACTACTTTTGTGCTTTAAGTAACATGACATTTGTCAATGAAGCACTACAAGAAAAGCCTTATACACTGACCTAACCACCAGAACTACTGGTTCAAAAGACATCTGGTACCTTCAGGTAATCTGTAAACTGCTCTGCAATCCAGAAAGGTTTCCAGAGAACTGCAACCAAAATACAGAGAAATAAAATAAAGGGCCTGCAGCTGACACCATGACCAGCCCCACTTTGTGCCTGATGGTGACCAACCATGGCTGAGCCAGCTCCAGATACCAACATGTATCTGGAACCCCCGTAAATGGAAGATTGTCTTTTGATTCCTGACACTTCAGCTGCTAAAGAGCACATGCTGCTGTTGATCCCGTTCGTGTTGCAGGCCATCCCAACTTGGTTGATTCTGTCTATTGAGCAGCTGGCCTGAGAACTGTCAGACTAATTTTCCTGACACTCTGTTACTAACTCATGCCTGAGCCTCGGCCATTCTTTGCCTCAGAAGCTGGATCTCATCCCAGAACAATCTTTAAAAGTTTACTTTACTGATCAAAGCAAAATAAGAAAAACCTCTGTGTTTTACTATATTTAGTGTGCTATCCAGTAAGTGAGACCTTGGCAAGAGCACTGAAATGTAAAGCGCACCCCGCATTCGTAAACTTTTGGATATTTGCTCTGGAGCAGAGCCAGAGGATCTGAAATGCCCGTCTCAGTTCAGACACACAATTCTCCCTCCCTTTGCTCCGGCTCACCAGGCATGCAGCTCTGGTTTTCTCTAACAATACACCACAGAGCCTCAATAATGACATTTTAGCACTCAGTAAACTCACAAATCTGAGCCAAGGGTGGATTTAAGCCCAGACCAAAGGGATTCTGCCGTCATGCTGGGGTCAAGCCAAGGTGTCAGGACCTGTTTCCTGTGCCGCCACGGAGGAGAAGCCCCGCACCGTCTCCTATCAAACAAACAGGGAGTCTTGGAGCCACCCTCCACACTGGATCACCTCAAACCTCATCAATCTACCGTGACCAGCCTTCACGTGGAAACAGCACAGTGAGGCTCTTGTGGAAGCAATACATCCCCACCTCACCTAGGCAGCTTCCCAGCTACACTCCGCATTGATAATGGGCATGAACTGTCCCCACTCAACCTCATTCCAGCATTCCTTCATTACAATTATGAATGGCATGTTTCCATTCCATTCCTTTATTACAATTATGAATGGCATGTTTTAGCATACCCTGCTAATGTGTGATACCTTTATTATAAGTTAGCACCCTAGGAAACGGGACAGACAAGCAGAGGCTATTCAATCAATTAAAACTGCTGCTTACAGATTGGAAGCCAAAGAAATTCCTTAGCTTGTATTTTCTGTCATTTTGCAAAAACATACCTGGGTGACAAGGTTAAATCAAGCAAAGGAAATCCCTGGCACTTATCATCCACAGGCATTACTGATAAATTGTGCAGTGGAGGAATAAAGGATTACCTTCTGTATTTTTTCATTACACTTTTCTTTTGTTACAGAATACATAAATCCATTGTGGCACAATGTAATATGTATCATCGTGCTACACCTGTGGACATTTCATAACGGCTGCCATGTCTGTGCAGTCAGGAATGATAAGTGAACCACCCGTGAATGTTAATGATAGTGATCATTCTGCGGTAACTTGGCTTTCCATCTTCTTTTACAGCCTCAGCGCTGGAGCCAGGGTGGCAAGGTTCAGAAGAGGAAAAAGAAAACAACACAAGAGGCAAGAGCTTCGGTGGGGTGGGCTGACACCGGGGTGCTGCCCTGGGGGGGGAAGTGCTCATAGGTGGCATGGAAACAGCAGTGTCCTCTCCATGGGCTCTTATTTGTGTGACAAAAGCCTAATGCTGAAAGGACAAAAGGCTTCTGTTCTGAACTGGGAAACAAACTTTTCCAAAAGCTGCCTTTCCAATCTGGAGCAGTTTTCTTAGTTTTTTAACTGTTTTTTAACACTGAAGTGGAATTTATAGCCCTTACAACTTGCTGCAAAAGATGCCTGGCATGGTTGAAAGTGCCTGGGGATGACTAATAACGATTTCCACTTGATCAGCACAAAGGCAAAGTTAAAACTAAAAATCCCAGTTGATGCAATGTACTTAACTTATGCTGGGTAATTTCTACAATAAAGTGCACAGTGATATTAACCACAGTAACTATGCCAGCCAAAGTTTTTATCCTGAACCTAAATGATCTTGCTTTAGTGCATCTCAGGTTAGCCTTGGATAACTTTATGTGCTTTAACTGGCTGTGTTTTGACATTGCTGGAAGCTATCATCAGATTCTAGAAGCCCACTTCCTGCTCCAACTCCTTCCTTCCCTCTGAGCTTCGGTACCTACATAACCTTCTGAAATTTGTATTTCATATATTTCATAACTATTCTAGAATGTACTTTGTAGATTACCTACACCCATGTGAGAACTGATAATGGGCCTTTTGGGGAGTGCTTCTGTAATCTAAGTAAAAAACACTCTTCAAAGCTCTGAATTGAATTTGTAGATGTACGATGAAAGCCTGGTGTTTTAAAACTCTTTCAACCTTAATCTATCAGGTATAGCAGAAGTGCTGCTTTGAAAAATACATATATAACAGTCAAGGCAACATAAACACAATATCAAACCAGAAAAAAACAGAGCAGAGGAACCGCATGCCAAATTTCACCTGTGTGCCAACTGGCAGCTGAACCACAACTCCTAGAAACACCATTAGATCGAGTACGGCAAGTTGTGATAATAAAATTTCCAAGGGAAAAAGCCCTAATGATAGTATAGATTTATTTTAAGCTACCTTGTTCAGAGTCTTTCAGGTATTACCTCATCATCTCAAGGAGTATGCATTTACATGAATGCGTTGCTTTCTTTGACTCCTCCTGACAAATCCTTCTCCACATCAAAGAGGGCTGTTTGCGAGTGCCGTGTTTGACATTGGACAAAGCACTGCTTTCCACAACAGACAGTTTCCAAAAACATAACTCGCTAGACTAATGGGCAGTTAGAAGCCAGAATGACTGCCCTCCGTCTTCTCCTTGTGTAACTTTGCCAGAGTCCTTGGAACTTGCCAAATTCGGTCATGCCTGCTTAGCTTGCTCGACTGATTGTGCCAGAAAAGAAAATAAGACACAGATGTATTTGAGCTCTTTGAGATGCCAGTAAGAGAGACAGCTAATGGCTTCATTTCGACCCTCCCCTACCAGCTGGGCACAGGTGGGGGGATAATGAGGTCCCTCTCCCTAATCAAACTCAATTATTTACTACTCTATATAGCCACAAAGACAGTCACATTCAGCTTAGAATATAAAATACACTGTGGGCTACTTCTAACCACCACCACTGGGTATTTATAACCAACTCAAGTGGCTAAGAGTTTGCCTTGGCAGGAGTTTAAGCGTATAAAGTTCTGCAAACTGTTTCTGCTCAAACATGTCCTGCTGAAACGGGGTCCCTGGCGGGGTTCCATAACTGTCAGCTCGGTAACTGCACAACATCGGGAAATATATCCACTATGCAGGACAGTGAGATCTGAAATCAAACACCATGTTTCACCATGAAGCTTCTCAGAAGCATCAACCTTTCTCAACAATGATTCGCTATTAATAAACATTACAAGTCACGAGCCTGACAAAGCAGCAGCTGAAATACTTTGGCAGGAGGAGGTAAAAAAAGAGATGCAAAAAGGGAAGAAGATGTAGAATTTACAATGAATCCCTACAAAAATAGACAGCACACGCATTGAAACTCGCAGTAGTAACAGTCCCTTGATCAAGTGATGATCAAATATTCCTCTAATCTAGGGGACTCATTAAAAATTCTAATGTAAATCTAAATCTTTACAAATAACTATATGCACGGGAAGTACAAGCAATTTCAAATTAACATATGGACACAGAGAAAAAAACAACACCTATCAGAAAAGCACTGCTTCTTATGATGCAGGATGCAGTTCTCCTACTACTAATTGTCAGGACCTGCCAAGTTAGAAGAAAGGTCCTCACACAAGCACAGATTATGCTAAAACAAAAGATTTCATATTTCATCTGCAGGATTTGCAGCTGGACCTTAATCCTGATACAAGCACCAATCAGATCCTGCTGAGGAGTCTAGGCTCCACATGGGAACACTGATTTCACCTCCTCCAAGCTGATGTCCACATGTGTTTGCTGCAGTTAAATACTAATCCCTATTTATGCACTGCATACAGGCAATGGGGATATAGGCAGGAGGCAGCTGAGAAAGAAAAGGGACCTTTTGCAGATGAAATATCAACAAATGAGAATCTTCTAACGAACAGACTTCTTAAATGGTCTACCTGCAGTGAACACTTGCTATTCTTTTTGATTGCATGGAATTAGAACAGGATTTTCTATATACCTGCTGGTGTTTTCCTGGGGATACTGAAAATGCAGGATTATCTTGAAGATAAAACAATCATAGGATCATAGAATTAAAAAAAACAAATCCATAGCCAAATCAAATCCACTGACTCTACAGAAATGCATGTATGTGAAAGAGATGCTCCCTCTGTCAGATTCAACACCCAGCATTCTTCTGTCAGGTGGAAGGAACTAAATATTCTGCAATTCCACAGGCAAAAAACACCATTCACCAGCTCAACAGTGTGACTGGAACCTGCACAAACCAAAAGTGAACCTTGTGATACGCCTGGCAGGATTGCTTCATTTCATAAGCAGCATGGCAGGAGCAAAATGAAGATTATGTGTTCAGACTTTGTGTGAATTCCAAGTATTCACTAGCAGGAGTGCAGCAGTTCAATGCTCTTCAGTAATAATATGCAGAAGGGCTGCTTCTCTGCAGTTTTAGACCTGAAGGCTCACCCCAGTTGCTGCCACCAGCAGTTACTTTTCTACCTGCTTCAAGACAGAATGCAGACCAGGGGACTGCCTGCAGAGAACCACGAATACACATGCCCCTGAACTTGTTAAATTCACATGAAGAAAAGCAAAGAAGAAAATGACCCACTGCTGTTGCCCAGTGATGGAGAACGTTCGCACCCATACTCACATGCGCACAAAGAGCGACTGTTTGGCTGCCAGGCCAGGGGAAGAGTACTTTTCAACCAGCGCCAGAGTGCTGAAGCCAAACTTGTGAATGGGCTCATTGGAATCCAGGGGTGGAAAATCTGTGTCAACCTCGCCATCATCCTCGGCAATATGGAGACAGTAGGCATTGACGTTGTCGCTGAAACAAAGACAAGTGAAGTTTATTCAGGAGGGATGCTATAAACCTAATTCAGTTCAGCCCATCCATACCAGTCACTAAAGGCTGCAGGTAACAAACCAGCAGACGTGCCTGCTACAGGAGCAATACACTGAAAAGCCATCGATGGCATGTACATAAACATGTCCCAAACATACCTTGCTATCATAACCATGTGATAACAGAACCCTCCTCCCAAACCTCTGTGTAAAGCACTGAGTCTTACTTCATAATTAACTGAACTGCAAACAAAATACTGACAGTGATTAAAATATACTGAAGTCTATAAAAGTTCCATGACTTCATAAAGCTGGAAGTAATAGTTCCCCATTTGTGATAATTTATTTACTTATATGCTCATTACATTGTAGAATTAAAGGCAACCAAGCAGTGTCTGTTTTTTCATAGATCAAGTAACTGTGAAGAAGTTGATTAGTACAAAAGCTACCTCTGCTAAACATCTAAGAAGTCCGATCACTTAAAAATTAGTATAGACTGATAAGAAGAACTGAACAAGAGAGTTTTGAACAGATACACTGTGAAGAAAATAGGAAAGAAAAACCTAAGCCTCTTTCTTTCCACAGATGACGGCCCATCAGGAAATAATTACTGAGACCTTCCAAACAGGTATTAATTATATTTTCTTAACATTAAAATCTATTTCAAGTGTTGTTATTTAAGTTATTGACCTGAAAATAAGTATTTCTTATCATAAATCTGCCAGCATTCAGTCATTTCCCACAACCATGAAGTATAGCCTGAACGATCACGTGGCAGTGTGTTTCTAAACTCTGCCGTTTAAATTTGGAGTTTTAATTGCATGATTGATGCTTAAATTAATTAATTGCAAAGTGTATGCTAATTGTTTAATTGGTCGCTTGATCTATATAGATCATTTTTTGAATTAAATGAGTTGATTTACAAAGTTTATTGATTGGATGTGACAATGAATTATTTCACTGACTACCTGATTTGCAATTTTCTCAATTAATTCACAAACCTTTGGTTGCAACTGTGCTTTATTGAGAGTGCTTAGTCCAGGTGATCGAGATGCACCTTGTTGTGACTAAGACATTTATTATATAAAATGGGTACTAATGATGCATTACTATTAATATGAGCTGTAGATTTGCTATCAAAAAGGCAATCCAGCAATGTTTGTCTCTGAATTTGGAAAATTCTGCAATATTACTAAAGAAATCCCTACGAGTCTCTGGACTGTTATGAAGAACTTGAACATTGCTGTAGAATTAATTAACTGCTTCAAGAGTGCTAAGGAACTTTCAGGGAAGCTGGTGAAAGGTAGTGCTGGGAGGAGAATTCAGCCAGCTCTAGGGAAAGCCCACAGCCAGGAAGCTGCATGGTTTGCAGTGTTGCCAGTCTTTTTAGGAGTAAGCTGAATAAAGAGGCTGTGAGTAATATAGATACAGGTTGATCCTGCTTATGTAATGAGAAATGCCTGGCATCATTTTCGGGTCCTTCTCTTATTCTATTTAGATTTCTACAAATCGTAATCCCAGGATGGTTTGGGTTGGAAGAGAACTTAAAGCTCATCCAGTTCCTGCCACGGGCAGGGACACTTTCCACTGGAGCAGCTTGCTCCAAGCCCCTGTGTCCAACCTGGCCTTGAGCACTGCCAGGGATGGGACAGCCACAGCTTCTCTGGGCACCCTGTGCCAGCGCCTCAGCACCTTCACATGGAAGGACTTCTGCCTAAGAGCTCATCTAAATCTCCCTCTTTCAGCTTAAAGCCATTCCCCCTCATCCTGTCCCTACAGGCCCTTGTAAGAAGCCAGGATGGTGTGCCTTACACCACTGATTTTCTAACTTCCTCATCTGACAGACTTTTCTTATGTGCAGCCTGGTGAGCACTGTATAAATAAAGTTAACATTTTCATTTGGTACTTGATGCATTTGCATAATTCTCATTAAGGCTGGAGGAACATACAGACATGCAGGCAACAGAACACATTCAGTGCGTCTCAAAGCAATCCAAGTGCCAAAAAAAGGTAGTGGTGACAACTTATCTTCCACCAATTATACTGAGAATATTCAATATCCATTAAATTAAAGGTGTTACCAAAGTCTTCAAACCTGGAGCAGGTTCCTGAACATTAACACAGATTAAGTCACAATCTGTTGAAAAATCAAGCCCAATGGATAAAACTGCTCAGCATTTTGTACCTCCATCAACATGAGATCAAAAGTCCTGAACGTTAGACTTCAAATTACAAGGTTCAAAGACTTGAGAACCCGAGTTTGCTTGGCCAGATGTAAAAGCATTCAGCAACTGACAGATGTAAAAGCATTCTTAACTTCTAGAAATAGGAAGTCGATTTGAATTTTGCATCTCACTGTTTATTTATTCCTAGAAAGAGATTTTGGTTATTTTTTGCAGGCAGAATCATTACAGAACATCTGTCAGGGGTTGGCAAGAGAATGATCCACTGGGTCATGACCAAAGCTCAGGCTTAAGAGGACAGGAACATGGTTGCTAACACTGTCAGTGGTTCCTCGTATCAAGACACTGAATAGAGACAAATATAATACAATTACAATTTAAAAAGCAACCTAACTGAATACAAAATGTTCTCAAAGCTGTCAGTTAGTACTCACTCTCTTTAGACTCTTACATCTACCTTTCAGAGGAAAGAATTAGGCAGTAATATATTCTTTTCCTAAAGACAAAGGGGTTGTTCCTCTTAATTACAAAGTCTACAACCTCCTCATCATTCTCAAACTGTGTTACTAATAGGTGTATGTGTCATTCTGCATGCGCTGTATATCAGATTCAAAGCACTCTGTGAATTCTAGTGCAGTGTCACAATGATCCCCATTTTGTCTTTTTATACTCTGAACTGACTGAACCAGGAGCAAACGGCAAATGCAGGATGTGTAACCTGCACAAGCTGTCCTTATTTGGCAATGATGAGAGTCAGTTTACAGTTAAGTCAATCCTTGCTACAGGACTGGCAGTCAGCAGTGCTAAAAAAGGATGATGGAGACACGAGAAATAATTAGGAACTACACAAGAAAATGAACGTGGAATCTTGAGGCTCTGCCCCTTCCTCTGAGCATTTGTACTCAGACTCGGAATGGCTGCTGTTGGGTTGTTTGCAGGAACACTATGCCTCCATTATTTATATTATTATTTCTGTCCCGAGATTTGATTACAGGAGACAGCCTCCTTGGTCAGGAGCACTCTTTTGACACATCATAACGTCTTATCCTTCAGGGCAGGGAGTGAAATTCATCCCATTCCACTGCTGGCTTTTGCTGTGGGCAACCATGTTCTGTGGAATACCTCTACTCCACTGAGGTGTGCTGGGCTCCTGGAAAATACACCCATGTCCAAAGAGTGATGCTAGTGGTGGTGTACTCATAAAGAAATAAACTGATCACACACAAAGAACACTTTTTTGAACTTATGCTATAATGAACAGAAATTAAGGAAATGGCACCATCTGCAAATGATTTTATATTTCTCCTTCAGTGTAAAAAAAAAAAAAAAGACAAGACAAATCCAAGTGAAGTGTTTAACCTCTGAAACATCTCATATGTCTGCTGGGAAGAGCTAAAGGAAATCCAATATCCAAGGCAACAACATCCACGAAACTATTTTCAAGTGGGGCTGCTTTTCTGGGTTGTATCTACTAGACAGAAACCAACTAATCCTCGAGAAGGGCAGCACAAGCCACCTCTCAGCACCTCTCCTTCTCCTGTACAACTGAGCTACAAGAGGAGAGATTACCAAGCCCTCAACCACTTCTGAAAAATGCTGAAAGAGCAAACTTAAATTCAGTGCCAAAAGGAAAAAATGAAGTTAATCTAATAACTTTAACAGGAGCAATAAAGTGAGAATTGGCTCATAAAGAAAAAAAACCCAAATGAACCAGTTAACACTTTCTTCTAGTATCTGTCACTAACACTGCTATAATAAACTATTTTAAGTCCTTATTTTATGTTCTATGACCCAGTCAAACCTGAAGTGTTTTACAGAACTGTTTGAAAACTGAAGTTGCTCAGATGAGTGGCTCTGAAGTAACTGTTTTATGTACTTCATGTCAACTACCATCACAAAGCAACAACTCTTACTAAACAACACTAGTTCCCCAGCACAGCAAATCTCAGCCATTATCTAGTCACAGAAATCTTAGGGGCAGAATTCTTTCACAATGCAGATGTAAGCAAAGATAATCTAAGATATTGAAAAATCTGAATTAAAAAATGTAATTTTATTCTTCATTTTTGAAGAAAATTGGTATTTATTTTGTTTTTAGGGTTCTTATTTGTGTATTTTAATGATATGTCCAGGATAACCTAGAAAGAAAAGCACCATTAGCCCCTATATCTGGCAAGTCCCAGAAAACAGAAATATTTTAACATGTGTATAACGAATTAAAGTCATTCTGTCAGCAAAATGACAGCTGAAAGCAAGTTAAGTAATGCTGAAGTTGTATGACAGAATTCTGGCTTGCTTTCAGGCAGGCTCACTATGGCTAAAATCCCCTCCACGGTTTCGGAAGAACACTGACAGTACTTCCAAGATACACTGTCACCCAGTACAGTGACTCCTCTCCCTATGAATCTGTAGGAGGAGCTGACACCATGCAGATAAACCAGTCAGGATCTGGGTACCTCCTCTCAGAACAAACAAGAGAGGGAGTTACAGATGGGTTCCGGATTTTGACGTCTTTGCCATTAAGAATGCTACCAAAAAATAGATGGGACATAAAATGAAAAATGTGTCCATGACACCAAAAGATATAAGATTTATACTATTTTTACACAGAGCATTTTGAAATTATGATTCATTTACAGATCCATGGTTTCATATGCTTATCATTATACAACACCCTGTAGTTTAATTGAAAGAGAAATGGATACAGATGCATGTTTGCTGCTCAAAAGGAAATACTGATGAATGTGTAGGTCGCTTCTCCAAGATTTATCTATGAAAACATTGACATGGAAATCCATTTCATTATGCAAAAAGGCTGCAGAGGAGAAAATTAGAGATCAAGAGGTAGTAAAGAAAGAACATTACTTCAGTTTTGGTTCCCGTCCCTCACTTGTATATTGCCAGCATATTAGTCCAATCAGGTCATGCACCTTGGCATTTGCTATCGTCACAACTGTCATGGGCTGTAGTTTGTCTTGGCTTGTGTGCAGTGGGAGGTAGACATCAATTTTTTTGGTTGCCGTTGTACCAACATGACCCTGTCGAGAAAATATATTTCATTAGAATGTATTACCAAAAACTATGCACGACAGAGCTAACACAAAACGCAGTGAGGGTGGGATTCGTTTCAATAGAAAGATTAAAATACTCTGCTGCAACTCAGAACTGGATAAAGCTTGAATGTTCGAATCCCAATTATTTTATTGCTTTTTAATGCATCTGTAAAAAGGATATAAAATATTTGGCAGTGATCTCACAGATTTCCATAGAGTCGGAACTTCACTGCAAGAACCCGTGTTCCTGCAGGATCCAAAAAACTTCAAAAATGGGTTTTCCAGCAGTGTTTAACACTGCCCAGTAACTATCTACACTCAGAGTGTAGGCCACAGCCTGACAGACACCACAGGCTGCTCATCCAGGGATATCAGACCAGGGAACACAACCTAAAGGGAGTCCTACAGCAAAAATGAACATCATCACATGTGGAGGCTAAGACAACATTTAAAAACAAACCTTAGGCTTGAGCTTGGTTTGCCAAGAGAAGAACAAAATCACACATACAATGAGCCATTAAACTATCCTGAACTATCTGAAAACAACTAAGAAGGATTAACTAATATTGGCTTTTATTGGAATTTACTGTATTGAAAAGATCTATTTGGCACTGTGGAGATTAACAATTACATAAGCCATAAAACTCAGCAACACAAAGATCTGTAAAGTTTGCATTGCAAGAAGAAAACGTTTAATCTACCACAGACAGGACTGCATTTTTAAAGCAGTAATCTTTTAAACAGACAAAAGACTGTACATCCTGACCCCCTCTGCAAAGCACCCCTGATGTAACTATATATCTCTATACGTATATGGGCCTTGAGAGAAGAAAGTATTACTTGAATTAATCACCCAGAATTCTAAGTAACAGAATAAAAGGATTCAATACTATAAATCTATAATGAGAGTATAAAACAGGGAGTTAAATGCCATGTGCTAATTTCAATATATTGTTAAAAACCATTTGATCCTTCAGCGTGATTATAAATTAGAGAAATAATAGAAATTTAAAGTTATTCATACTGGCATAGCGAAAAGTATTATTAAAATCCATCCAAATATAACAAATTTGTTTTTTCTCAGAAAGCATTTTTATAGTGCAGATACCTTAAGAATACAGGAAGAGGAGGCAAGAAGAAATTGGTTTTACTCATTTAAAAGGAAATGCTAGATTTGTACCAGAATACAGGACACTCCACCTTGTCTGGATAAACCTTAAGTGTGAGCTAGTGCGCCTGGGACCCTTCGAGATACCACCTTGACCTCCCCTCACTAAGGAAATCATCAACACAGCAGAACTACAACTGCTGAAACAATACAGTGGTTTGCGCTTGTTTCTTTCCCTCTCCTCTTCCTTTCCTACTTCCAGGATTTATTTTAAGGATAATTAAGCTGGTATCAGGTAATGAATCGTCAGTCTCAAAGTGTACCCCTGCCCTTGCCCAGGTGCAAACATTAACCAAGGCAATGTACAAAGACACACAAGGCTGTGAGCATCGCTTACAGTATGGGCATGACCGAGGTACCAGCATGAAGGGAGACCTGTGGTTTCAACTACATTTGCATTTGCATGGATAAATGGCAGTTATCAAGGAAATTAATGCCGCTCCTTGGCATGCCAAGTTAGTTACACATTTAAATCCAAGGATGGCAGAGTTGTAAGTAATGCTTAGTCGTGGTAATGGGAAACTCCATGAAAAATTGACAACCAGATGTGAGAGTTGATGCCAAGGTTAAAATTGACACACACAGCATCAAAGCAGAGAAAGGACAAGCGAGCCAAGACCTGTAACTAATAACCAAAAAGACCAGATTACTCCATTAGCCACTACTACAAGTACAGACTGTTTTATAAGCTCATGATCAATAAACACATGTATTAATAAAATAAACACGTTCTGGGGACCCTGATCTTACAGCTGCCACAAATAAGAGGGTGACTTGCCTCAGTCTAGCTGCTGTCACACCGCTCCTCTCTCTTTTATGCCCTACACAGTGCTGATGTTTTGTGTTTGGTGGTTTTGAAATAAACTTTTCTTTGTTCTTCCCCATCTCTCAATCTCCTCTACCTCCTCCAGTCTATTTTTTCCAGCTTGCTTGTCTAAACTCCCTCTATTACTGATATTCAAACATATATGAACATCAAGATGACGGGTGGCTTAAACCAGGGGTAAGTCGTGCACAGATGAGGATTCCAAGTGATCTTTGAGCAAGGGGAGCAATACCAACAGCAGCAGTTCTGGGAAATGGCTCAAAAGCATCGCTATTATAGTCAAGATGTTTAAACGCCCGAGTGAAATATGTGTATTAATGAAAAGGGCTGTGAAACTGATTGCCATAAGGTATTAGAGAGGCTGGAACCTGAGATTTGGAAACCAATTAAGACTTTCTATCAGTAATGAGAACATTCATTGTCATGTTAGGTAGGAAACACTAGTATGGGCTACAAACGTGGGTCAAGGCTTAGACTGATCAATCACAGAGTCAAAGGGGCCTGGAGAAAGCCCCGGCTGTGTTTATTGCAAATTGATGATATTTGTTCTGAATCAGCATTGGAAATCCAAACCATCAGGTACCTGTCTCCAGGAAGGAATGAATCCATACCCTTAGCCTGGTCCTGCAAAATATTAATTGTGTAGGAAGTCCCACAGAGCTCAATTACTTATCTGTGCAAAGCTTATTAGGTACGGATTTGTAGGTGGAGGGACTGAATAAAAGGGATCCAATTATTAGTCTCGGTGGCCAAGAGTCAAAGACCTAGCCACACTGGATTTAACTAGTAATAACTCGTGGGTTTTATATGGTGCTTGTAGTCCCTTCTTTAGGGGGAATCATTCAGAACCAGATTACAGACACTACTGGAAGCATAATTACCTTTTTCTCTCAACTAAAAATTGTATTCCAACTGCAAATGCTGAGGAGACCCAGAAGATGAAGTACAATTACCTATATTCAAAGAGGCAGAATCAAACTTTATTAATAGATCCTGTATAAAATTCAATGGAAAATCTATTCAGGGCCAGGGGCCTTACCATTTGGAGTTTCCTTAATAGCCTCCAATAAATCTGGGAAGCATAAAGGGGCTGTTAAATTAACATTTTCCTGATCTGTCACCTGTGGCATAGTTAATTTGTCAAAAAATTCTTTTAGCTTGTCACTGGACACTGCATATTCTGACAAATGAAGTCTGGAATAAAATTGACAAAATATCTCGTTAATTTTCTAGGAAATCACAAATCTGATTCCATTAAGCTTTTATTGTTAAGAAATGGGATATTCCACCAGTCCTTTAAGGAAGTGAGGAGTAACTGGATACACAGCAAACATATGATAAATCACAGAAAATTACCTGAGTATTTTTATTAATGGATTCTCTTAAGGCTACCCAGTGCTCTCCTACAGTTTGATCTGATGAAAATTCCTGTTTGGTATTTCTACAGCGTTTTCATCTCACTCAAAGCAAAGATGATGTTTCATTATCTGCAATTCATTGGAGGAGACACGGCGCTGTGCAGCGCACACAGGCTTGAAGAGGCAAAAACCCAGGGATACTGTTTCCCAAATTATTGCTAATGTGGTGTGCACATAAACAACTCATTTCTCTGTATTTCTCCTTTCTCTATCGGTGTTGTCAGAATTCTCGGTGGTTGGCACATTACTGCTATTCTTTGCTGCTGCTGTTCAAGAGCTGCGCAGAATTAGGGCCATTATTTGACACTGCTGAAAAGTGCAATCTGCTGAATTCACATACTTTCTGGTTTTATAATTTAAGCAGATCAATGTATATTTATGCACTTTGGTAATAAGCAGTGGCTATGCTTAGGAAAGTTATTCCCACTAATAAATAAACTTCTTCTAAAGAATTACTTGGTATCAAAGACTATTGCTCTTATGGACCATTGCTTCTCATGTTCTCTAAACTAAGGACAGACACAAAGCAACGTAATAGTTGGTGATCTATAACAACAGTAGTCAGGCTAATTACAAGAACGTAAGTAGCATCAGCAGTACTTACATATGTTGCTGGTACTTCCAGACAAAAGAGTATGAGTTAGGGACATGACAGGCAACTCAAATGATGACTTTCCATGGATTTTTTCTATATACATATATAATTTTAGAAATATCTGTATCATTAAATAATGCTCTGTAACAAAATTAATATGCTTTAAATATAAACACAGTTTGTTAAATTAAAAAGGAAAAATACGTATGTAAACTCTTACCAACTGTTTCAACACAAGAACTCTTCCTAAGACTTAAACCCAACTTTTTAATCAAAGTCCATGAGAAAGTATGTACCTCCCTCCAAAACCGGATGATGTACACCTTGAATACACTATTGCAGGGCACAACTTACTCCTGAAGTACCTGCACAATGAGGAGGTAATGACACAGTCATTGAGAAAAATGCCTATGCTGTATCCTGCTCACTTCTGATTTGCTTCACTGCACACCAGGGTAGAAAATTAAAACAAAGCCCATAAACATTTCTTAGAGAAAAGTGATTAATTTCAAACAATAATAATTTACTGCATCTTCTTGTACAATAGAGTTCTGTGACTAAATGTTATATCACTTTAAGATTAGATGTTCTAATGATATAATGCAAAGATTTTACTGAATCATTATTTAGTGGGAGTCATAAAAACCTCTTAAAATTAATCTTTCATGCACATCCAGCTTATCCAAAGTTAGCATTTAATTAGATGGCCTTGGCATGAATGAGCTTACTACTTTATTTGCTCAATCAGTATACGTCTCTTCAGTAATTATAATTAATTCAAGTCATTGACTCACCTCACCGCAAACAATGCTAAACATTACACAAAATGGAAACAAATGCTTATCCTTCCCTCTCCAAGTGTGAAATGTCTTCTCACTTTTAAACTCGGGGAACTGTTTTTTGCCTTAGGTGACAGGGTATTTAATATACCATGCGACCCAGCAGTCACCTCCTAAACATAACTTATTCACAGATGTA